ATGGGCTTAGGCGACCCCTGTGAAAGGGTCGTTCGACCCCCCAAAGGGGTCCCGACCCACAGGTTGAGAACCACTGCCCAAGATAATTTCCAGATTTGGGAAGGTATGTTGTATTTTGGCTATGTGAAAAAAAAACTTTTAATCTGTCCTCACAAATGCCTCAACTCTGTGTGTTTAAGCTCATGCAAAACACTGGCCTATTCACCTAATCAAAGCTTAAAATCTCTCCCACACTCTACCCCACCCCCTTCTGTGGTGATCTCTTCCTATTGGCCATTTTGTGATAGATTGGCCACTGAGCCAAATTTATTTTTATTGTCATATTTTTCAGCTAAGCTTGGCTTTAAGAACATAAACAAACATTGTGGGAAATGTCTTAAGGAACATTTTAACACCAGTTTGTATAAGTTACGTATAATTTATGTTTTATTTTTATGTTGTTGTTAAAAAAAAAAAATCAAGAAACATAATAGCAAAGGATTTGAAATGAATAAAAACCTCTTGATGAAGCTAGTTTTTAAATGTAATACTTGTAGAAGATTGTACGTAAAAGATACTAAATAGAAATTTAAAGTGAAATGGTTGTGCTGGTTATCCATTCTGTTTTAAACTTATTTTTTCCCCAGGTTTACAAGGCCAGAGCATCTAGGAAGCAGTGCCAAAATCAAATGTAGTGGTTGCCACAGCTACCAAGAATCTACCAAACAGCTCACTATGAAGAAACTACCCATTGTGGCTTGTTTTCATCTCAAAGTGAGTTGCTAAATGATGATTCCTAAAAGCAGAACTTCCTTCATAGAATTGGTTGGTTTTCTTTCAATTTTGTGGCCATGTCATATCTAGTATATCCAAATGTCTAGATTTCATAAATGTGAACACAGAGAAGGATATTTTGGAAACAAGGCAGCATTTTGTATTGAATGTCAAAGGGTGATCTCTTGCCATGAATCACCCTGTCCTCCTGCCTGTTCAGAATTAAGATTTTAATATTTAATACCTCAAAACAGCGTTCAAATGCCAGCGAACTAATATTGCTAAATTCCGGCAGCTGAAGTAATGGATAGGGGGATGTAGGTTATTTATAGCCGAACTGTTATCAGAGTCATGATGAAGAGCTGTGTCTTCTGACAATGTTAATAATGTAATATGGCAAACAAAAAAGAAAATGTGAAAGGCTATCTCGTCTGTGTAATTTCTTTTCTCGTGCTCGGAAAATAGCCTAGTCTGTTGCTAGGGAATTGTTCTGCTTCTGAAATTGGAGTACAATTACCTACAAAGGTAAATAGGACAGGAGGTTTTTTTTTAGAAATTTGGAGGAAGGCTGCCTTTCGGAAGAATTCATTAATCTTTCTGCCCCCTGTTCACATCCGCTTATAGCATTTATTCGGATGATGATGAAAGTACGGAGCTTATCACATTTCCCATTGTCTCTGAAATTAATCTTTTCCAACCACTTGTGTCTTGGCAGCGTGAGATACCTAGAATGTTATTTGTCTTGCTTTTTAAATCACAGCATACCTCAGTGCTAGCTTTGTGCAAAGAAGGTTCCAGGCTGAATCTACACCTAAAAATCCTAGAATACCCCAAGAATTATAAAGAACTGCTTTGAAAACATTATTTCTCTCCCTTTCTGGTACATTCTGATCTCTCTTTTGTTCTAAAAAGAAGAAACAGTAAGCAACCATACCAATTGTGTAAAAGACACTCACTTCCGACACACTGTTGTATTCATATACAGGTAGTCCTTGACTTATGACCATTCATTTAGTGACCATTCAAAGTTGCAATAGCACTGAAAAAAGTGGCTTAGGATCATTTTTGACACTTACAGCCGTTGCGACATCTCCAAAATTTGGTCAGTTTGGAAACTTGAC